TTTCATGGGGGGTGCGATGTGTTAAGTGCAATTAGGAAGCCAGAAACGGTTTTGGAACTATTCGTTGGTGAAAATTTGAAATGTTGTAAGGAACATTTGTCATAAGGGAAAATGGCTTTAGAAAAAAAAGTAAATTACACATATCGAGTTCTTAGGTTTTCGCGATTGTTACACATAGGAAATGAAACTATTTTTCCAGATTTAAATCGCGTATATTTGTTTTTTCAAACAAACCGACGTTTCGGGCCCTTTACAGGTCCCATGGTCACGGTTGACTGAGGTGGTACAGTCTTCAACCAGTTATGTCTAATATTAATGCAAACCACCCTATTTTTTCCACTATAGTTACAATAGTTATTAATTAAATACCTTATTTTCAATTTTACAAAGAAAATATTCCAATTTACGCTACATTAAGTTTTACAAATTATTTTATTGAGTGAATTTTTATTAAGTTTAATTTATTATTAATAGAAATTAGAATAAACTAAAACATATTAATTAGTTAGTCATAACCCAAAAGACTGCAGTACTAATTAATATGTTTTAGTTTATTCTAATTTCTATTAAAAATTAATAATAAATTAAACTTAATAAAAATTCATTCAATAAAATAATTTGTAAAACTTAATGTAGCGTAAATTGGAATATTTTCTTTGTAAAATTGAAAATAAGGTATTTAATTAATAAGTATTGTAACTATAGTGGAAAAAATAGGGTGGTTTGCATTAATATTAGACATAACTGGTTGAAGACTGTACCACCTCAGTCAACCGTGACCATGGGACCTGTAAAGGGCCCGAAACGTCGGTTTGTTTGAAAAAACAAATATACGCGATTTAAATCCGGAAAAATAGTTTCATTTCCTATAAATTACACATCTTTTTTATATTAATTGTATACTACGTGTTAGATAAAGATGTATGGAAATATGTATTCTATAGCATTTACGTTTATTTGAAAAGAGCAACCCCTAGAGTTTCTTGCTCTCAGGGAAGTCAGCATAGTGAACGAGCAGTAGCTTAAAAATGACGTTTACAAGTGTAAATATGTTACCCACGGAATAAATGATTCTTTGACTTCGACTACAGAGAAACCAGTGATGTGGACGCTTAGCTCGTGTATCCGTGTATAGAAGCTTGTGTATCTGTCCGGATTCTCATCGAGGATCCGCACCAGTATTGTCAACTCATGCGCAGTTTAATGTTCACGTGATTTGACGTCGAAAGTAATGATGTTTATTGGAAAATTGCGATGATGTCATCTATTATTTGGAATTACGAGTTTTGGACCTCGCCAGTATTTTGAATAAGTTCATCATCTTTATGATCGCCATGATTTTAGTAGCAGTAGAGCTCCTTGTGAAAGAGTCCGTCCAGGGAAGTGCTGCCACCTTACCTATTTCTGCCGCCATGCAGTAATGTGAGCATTACTGCGTTCCGGTTAATAATAATAATAATAACGTTTATTGCAAAACATGTTGTTACATAATAGTTCTTATAGTAGTTTACAGTATCAAATATGTACCCTGTAAGGGCGTAGCAATGTCAATTTTTTAAATATACATTTTAATTACCATTAATTAAAAGCTTTGGAATAAAAGGTTTGGAAGGGTAAGGGTGCTTATGTCTCAGGGTGATGGGTGCAGGGGCAGTCCCCTAAGATCTTTGCGATTCAAAGTTTTCAAAGATTGCGAGTGTCGCTCACCACCAGGCCCACGACAGTTCAGAATTTGGTATTTCTTTTTAAATTAGAAACTACAACAAATCATTATTAAGATTTCATAGTGTTTCAAATTATGTATGTGTGAGTTTTAGCGACAATCTCAATTGGCTTTGATTGATTCCTCTAAACAGTGAAAGTGTAGAATCAATCACTTTGCAAAAAATATGCACTAAAGTCATTGACTTACAATTATATGGACGTCGGGTCCGCGCTAAAAAGTGTCCGAACTTATAGGGCGTTAAAATCGTATACAGAGCGTCATTCACGCTTTAGTCTTCGTTTGTTCGACTGACAGCGAAGCAAGCAAAATTAGACAGTACTGCGATGACATTACAATTTAAATTCAACGTTTTAGCTTTTTCATATTCCTTTACATGTCACTACGTTTAAATAGGTTGAGTTGGGACATTTTTTTCGTGGTTTTTGTATTCGACCCGTCGTCCATTTATTTGTAAGTCAATGACTAAAGTTAAGGGATTGATTACTATACGGTGTGAAAATACGATGCCAGAAAATTTTCACGATAGAAAATAAACACAAACTTACTTCGAAATTTTACAAAAAATCCGCCGTATTCAATACGTACTTTACATATACCAATGATTTTTTTTCAAATGGCTTTAATTTGATTTTTTTTTTAATATTTTCTGAAATAAAGCCAGTATTTTGCCGCTCGACCCTAGCGAAATGAACCGTATCAGTACGGGAAAAATTGAATTCGAGCTAAGGTAGTATAGACTCTTAAGGCATTTCCATTGTTGTTTTTTCTTCCGTGCTTAATATATCTGTTTCTGTAAAAGTGTTGGTCAAAAAAAAAAAAAGCAATGTCAATTAGCAACAACAATATATAAACGTTTTTCAAACGTTATCCAAATATATCACGTGTTTTGTCCACGTGAAGTTTTATTTAAAAATAGATGACGATTTAGAATTGATACCTACGCCTCATAGTATTATGAACAGGTTTACTATTTTTGTATTAAAATTTTGCATAATCTCCGCAAACAGTTTTAAATATATTTTGTTTTTAACCTACTTCAAAAAAGGTTCTCAAGTTGACTATACGCTTTTAGTGCATGTTAGGCGATTTTCCGACATTCAAGAAGAATGAATTAAACTCATTTCAAACATGGAAGAAGAAACAATTTACGGGCCTTAAGCCTCGATTACTATCAGAACCGCTGTCGCAAAAACTCACACTATCATAATGTTGAACACTATGTAATCTTTACAATAATTGGTTATCGATTCTAATTTTAAAAGATGTAACTTATTTTGCACTTAATATTAGACATAACTGGTTGGTAACTGTACAACCTCGGTCAACCGTGACCATGGGACCTGAAAAAGAATGAAGAATGAAGAAAAATAAATAAAACAAGCTGAGCCTTGATGGTCACGCTGTGAATTCGGAATTATAATCTAGTGTCAACTGTTAGTGTCGCCAAGGAGCATATAGATGTCGCTGTCATACTTTTACGAAATAAACATCGCGTATTTTGAACGAGAAATTTTTTCCTATGTACTATTAAATAGAAAAATAAACAAAATATTGAATAGATTTATGTAAATAAATAAGTTCAACTTAACTTTTAATTATTACAAATCGATATTTAGACAATAAATTCGAAAATAATATTGTTTCCACTGCGTCCGAGTAACTATTTTAAGATTACTAAATTTGACATAAGAACAATATTACTTTAATATTAAAGGAGCGTTATAGTAAATACGAACTGAGTGAATAAATAGTCACAAAGCTGCCAATAAAACATCATAGTTTTAACATTTTAACAGGCTTACTTAAGCGCGTCATGGTACGAAAAGTCAATGTAAGGTTAAAGTAATATTGTTTTAAGAGGTTGCGTCAGGCCCCCTGTAAAGGGCCCAAAACGTTGGTTTGTTTGAAAAAACAAATATACACGATTTAAAACAGGAATAGTAGTTTTAGTTCCTATATTTTGAATTGTTAATATAATTTAAACTTTACTCAGTTTGCGTAACGTTTAAAGTTCAATAAGAAGACGACGAACGATTGACGCCTCTATAAGTTCTACAAAAAAAAAAAATTGACCATAATCCTCTACAAGAACATCTGCGGGGTTCTCAGACAAGTTAAGGATGCGAAAACGAGATCACATACATGTCACAACTTGACTGCCCGCTTCCTCTCACCAATGACTACCTCGAATAGAACTCTCGAACAGCGAAAGCACTGAATCAATCTCTTTGAAAAAAATATGTACTAAAATTGAGGATTACTTTACTGTGTGAAAACAAGGTTCCTAAAAATTTTCACGATAGAAAAAAACACAAACTTATTTCCAAATTTTACAAGAAAACCGCTATGTTCAATAGGTACTTTCATATACCAATTTTTTTTATATCAACTGAACTAAATAGAATACGTATACTGTATACGTATACGATATACATTTTTCCAAAAAAGCCAGTGTCCCTGTCGCTCGACCTAAGCAAAATGAACCGTATTAGTGTGTCAAATTAGGACGTGATGTTTCAAAGTGACGCTTAGTCATTTCCCGCCTTATTGTTTCTATGCTTGAGCAGAACAAATCACATTCGGAGCGATCTATTAATGTATTAATAAAGAGTTTCAAAGCGTCTCAGTGGTAATGTGTAGGTATAATTTAATAATGAATCATTGATTATTTTGTTGTTTAATTTTTTAATTTTTTTATGTTGTGTTCAATTGTTAGTTGACATTGCGGTTTTTGCGCCTATTGTTTTTGCAGATCAAGCGCTGGTTCAAGTTGAAACCAATTTTAATTTTATTTTTATACACGATACACGATCCTTTTTTTTATTCGAAAACAGTTCTTGAAACCGAATAGCTGGACAGAGCTAAACTGGCTGGCATTTGGGTAAAAAGGCCGGACACCTTACATTTTGAGGATTTTTGTTTTAGTTAATTAATATGACAATTTTTTTTCCATTTTTGGATCATTTTATCAAACAATCTTATTGTAATGAAATAATAATAAAATTGAATAAATTAGTTTTGTTTATTATTAATCGTCTGTTATTGCAATTGAAATCAAAATTAAATAGAATTTGGTCAAATATAAAAAGCTGGATAAGCCGGACAAACCGGAAACTCCACGAAGGACACCCGCTATACGTATCGGAAATATAATCATTCAGTATCAACATCTATTACTTAGAATATAGTAGGTACTATGAATTTGTCGAAAGCTTTTGCTTATGTGCACATCGTTGTTAATATCTTTTATGGACAATTTTGTTTTTTTTTACAGAACGATTTTGTGATGTCACCCTTTACTGCTCACCGAGCTTTGCGACGCAAGTGTCAAACAAGGACACCGTTGAACCGCAAAATATCAAAGGGGTGTCCCTCAGGGCGCATAGGTGAGACCATAAATATTTTTTAACTATAAAGAAAATCAAATAATTAAATATAGTTTTGTTCTGGAGTACATGTAGATAAAAATGAATATTTTTAAGTTTCTTGTAACAGCTGTATTTTGAAATATAAAGGAAAACGTTTATTCATTAATTTGAGTAACTTTATACACTTAAATCTAAAACAACAAAGTGACTAGTAATTTTAAGTAAGTGTGCATAGTGGCGCAAAAGAAGAAAAGGTTACGCCTCAGCAATATCTCTATCTAGGGCAAGACAGACGCGGATTTTCAGTCGTTCCTGTGTCAGCGTCGGCTGAGTCCTATACTACAAAGGTTTAGGTAATTAAGTAAAAGTAAACAAACTTCAACTGTCACTTGGTTAACCAGTCAATTACAATATTTAGTAGTGAGTTTCATACGTCGTATTACTGCTGTACTCGTTTAATTTAGTCACGTGTTATTAACTGTCATCTTTTTAAAAGCTGGATTTTAGGTTGTTTATCGTAGGAAAATTGTGATACGTGCTGTGTGTATCCTTTGTTGTATGCATCGAGTATATAACTAGAAATAGAGACGAAATAAGGGCCATTCATTCCTGGCAACTCATTAGGCAAATGGGCCTTATATCACTTTTAAATATCAGCTCTCGTTTGCGCTGAAATCACAAATTAGAAAGCTGAAATAGTACAGCGCCAACAACTGACTTGTTTGTACGTCTTCGTATATTCCAAAAATATTCTGTATTTATTGTAATAAGAGATAATATCTCTATCTCTAACAATGGGGTGCTGTTTCATTCGCTGGTGTGGTAAAAACAGTAAAACATCTATTTATAAAACAAACGGAATCACATTTCATCGGTAATTAAATATTTAATATGTAATTTTTAAATTTTCATCCATTATAGCAAAGCTCAAGTTATGAATTGAAGTGAAACAATTGCCGACGCCCGTCAATTGTTTCAATTTCGGGCTGGCCAATCGGAGCGCAGTTGTCACCGTAATGATTTGGCAGAATAGTTTTCGAACAAATTAAATGACATTTCGTCTCTATTTCTGGTTATATACTCGATGGTTGTGTGCCACATTACACGTAAAGATTTACATGCAAATATAGATTTTATTAATGATACAAAGGCCGAACAAATGTAAAGAAAAAATCGTTCGATCTGACTGCAAACCAATGTCTGTGGTTTGTTTCAAGATGTCTATAGTACATTCTGTATTAAGGACGGGAAATAAGGAATTACTAACGATAACTCTAGTTTTGTAGTTTTTACCGTCCGTGATATATACAATGTTTTTCATCACATTTGCGAGGATATACTCGTAAATACAATTTTTATTTCTTGTATGTGAATATGGTTCACAACACAACAAATTGACTGCCTCTGTGGCCTGACGGTTACCATGCCACGCAGATATCCCAGGTTCGTTTCCCGGGCCGGGAGAAATATTTGTATGGCCTACATTTGTTTCTCTCGTGAGTTTGGGTGTGACACAGGGTTTCCCTAGTGCGGGGCTATTTTTTTTAATGGATGTTGCAAATGGCAGGCTCCTTGTGTTTTTTTTTGATGATCAGTTGGCCAGCTAGCTAGTCTTCTATAGATAATACAACTCGAAGTAAAATGTTGTAAAAACAAAGGCGCATACAGCCATAATAGATTGTAAAAAAAATTAACAAAATTTTTTTTACAATCTATTATGGCTATATACAGAAAAATAATTAAAATCAGTTATACTGAATTCTTAATAATAAATATTTAAGTAGCGTGTGGCTGATTTGCAATTAAATTTCCGTTTAGATAACTTTTTAAGGGAATGTTTTAATTTTGAACTTAAGTAACCTGCTTGCTTAAACTTGAACCTGATCTATGTAAGGAAGTATAACGTGCTACAAATAAAAAAAATACTTTTTTTACCTTACTGACCATGGCTGTAATGGGAAGAAAAAAGGCTCGAGGGTCAAGTTTACTACCATGCAATCATGCTATTTACGAGCAAGTGTGATGGAAAGAAATTTAATCGTTTCAGGGTGGTGCTGGCAGCTTGTTCAGAGCTCTTGGGATCTCTGCTAGGCGCTCATGAGGCACAAGGAGAGCCGGTGTTGGTCATCGACGGCGCCGAGCCAAAACATTTGAAAGCGCTTTTGGATTACATGTACACCGGGGAAATGAACGTACATCATGTAAGTAATATATAATAATATGGACATTAAGGGCGCATTCAAATTAGCCGCTGTTAGACGCGCTGCAGCAGCGCTGCAACCGCGCGGCGGCCGCGCGGCTGTCGCGCGGCTGAAGTGCGACCAAATTTTTAGTGATGTTTTAACTTTCGACTCAGTTACACGATGGACGTCGAAGTCTGACGAAGAAACGTTACTTTTACTTATTTTGTTAAAACTGAAGAATAAAAAAGAATACCAGAACGTATTAGAATCCGGTCGTTACCTTTATTTTATTTTATTGTACGTGATTATCCTACAACACGATTAGCAAAACAAAAGACCGAGAAAAGAAACGATGCCGCCCCAATACATGGTTTCTAGTCCTATACAAAAGCACATTGTAATATTACCATTAAATAGTTACAAAACTCGATTTGCGAAAAATATTTGTAAATAGATTTCACCTTGTTTACGGGATTTTATGGAATTTTTACGTTCGTTTAACACTATTCTTCACACTTGTATTCAGAACCAAAAGATGTAATATATAGTGGGATCAGAGTTCTTGGGGCACACACTTCGCGTTTAGGTATGGTTGTAGTTTTAGTTTCAAAATTGTCAATAAATTTTCGACATAAATTTTCCCGTGCCTTTTTTTCCAGTCGATTAGAATAACTGGCGGAACTGATATCCCTATATTGCAGGGTGTTGTTTTGCATTCTCTATAAATTCTTCAACTCGATTTTAGTCCGTCGTAGTTAATTTGAAAAATTAACATGTACACCTCACTAACCGTGACTGCAGCGCGATTGTCGCGCGGCTATACAGACAGGCTAACAGCGGCTAATTTGAACGCGCCCTAAGGTTCAATTTACTTTGCCGCGGAACGGATTGGAAAAGATTTTTTTTAGAAAACACCTAAGATCGTAGGGACAAAGAGGTGGCTGAAAAACAGCGCTATCTGCGACAACAACGGTTGCAGGCAGCACAAGCTGAGACACCTCCTTTTGCCCTCTGACATCGTTTTGGCTTAATATGTTATTTATGTTAAAAAGTGTCATTGTCGCAATAAAGGATATTTGTATTTGTATATGAAACTTTACATAGCATAATGAACTCTATATATCGCACTGCTATTACAATAGTGTTATAACTCGAAATATGTGAAATTCAAGATTATGCCATTGTAGAACGTAAAATTTGATTCTTTACACGACCATAAAACCGTCGATAGAATATTGTAAGAAATAATCAAAAGATATCCACTAAACTCAAAATGAGACACGCTTTATGTGAGCTAGTTCTGGCCAAAATAGTCCTTATTCAAAAATATGAATTTATTTTTCTTTTTAAATATGTATAATTGGCAAGTGGGAAATAACCTATACATAAATTTACACGGGAAGTGATAATTCGTTTTGTGATAATTCGTTTTTCGTCGATTCAGAGAAAATACACTTTTCGAGTTAATACACTATTGTATTAACAGTGAGATATATCAGTTGTGTTACCTATAAAGATTACTGTTTGACGGCAGAATTAGGCAAGGTGGCAGTACTTCCCTGGACGAACTCGTCACAAGCACCTTATGAAAGAGTTCGTCCTGCGCGACCACTTTCATCGTCATCCCACAATTTTGAATCGTTCTCTAATTCTTTTTCTTCGTCATTCTTACTTTGCTTCGTTCCAACGCCACTCTCGACAAAATTTTCGAAGAGAAGGGACGTGGTGCGTCCTCTGGTGAAGAAGGATAGCGAAAGCTGATTCAAGAATTATAAGATCAACGAAGAGCCGTTCATAGACTTTGCTAGTATAATTTTACGTTTTAGTTTACACCTATTTATCAATACTGCCTCTGTGGCCGAACGGTTACCATGCCGGACTGCCACGCAGAGGTCCCAGCCTCGATTCTCGGTCCTAGAGAAATATTTGTATTGTCTACATTTATTTCTCTCGTGAGTTTGGGAGTAATTTGTGGTTGTCTATACATATGTGTGTCCATGGCACCCGCGACACATTTTCTCTAGTGCGGGGCTATGTTAAGTATGTGCGTTATTATTATTATTAATATATTATTGTATATTTTTAGAAGTCGGAATAATGAAATTGCAAAACAATGTATTTTAGAATAGATGCAGAGCACAACGCAATTGTTTCTGTTCGACCATAGATTAGGTAACATTCTTGTACGTACGTTTCGTTTTAAACACGATTGAATGTTTACCTACCCGAAGTATTGGTTATTTTATAGTACATAAAACATTAAAAGCTATAAAATACCTAAGGAATAATCAATTAAACAATAATGATATAAAGCAAAAAATAAAACACAATGTGACAAAAATATTGAGGCAAAATTTAAATGATATAATGAAAGTTGCAAAGGAACGTTTTGACAAGAGACCTCTTGTCATGTTAATGTCACATTGATTAATTATTTTTTGTTATTAATAATTTTGGCTTGGATACAAGTCCATTGAGCCATGTCTTCGTTTAATTATGTTTCTGTAAATTTGGCCGCCACAAAGAGGATAGGCAATTTGAGGCGGCGTGCTTGGATTGACTCGGGATTCCTAAGAACGGACTGATACGGGTATTTTAGTTCGAGATTCGTATAATTTCGCGTTTTAATCCTCGGTTAAGGCACAATAGCACTATCCTATTCCACTTTAAACTAGATTTCACAAAATAATTGAAAGTCAAAATAAAAACGACACTTTTCTTTCCAAAAGGTCCAGAGTGAATGAATGATGTCACATTGATATTGAGAACAGTGTGACCGTTTGTGGCAGATTTCTGCCAGTTGGGCAAATTAAATTTTTATTCATTTTCATTGCTGCAGAACATGATTAGTTATATTGAATGTGGCAGAGTTTGGCAGATTTGGGAATATTCGGGAAGTTCTTTATTATTTTTGGGAACAAACTGAAAACTTGTTATTTTCTGCTACTACGAACAAACATCTGAAGCGAAATACAAGACAATGTTATAAACATAATGTATATCAACTTGTAATCCGAGCTCCTACAGGCTGTACTCAATTAGCTTTTTTGATGCTTTGATAATGAACCACAAGTATTGATAGGTCTCTTTAATGCATGTAATCAAAAACACTGGGTCACAAAATACAGGGGATGGCGACAGCCATCCCTTCTTTGAATGAAATGCGATTTACAACAAATATTTAGTAGTAAATAGGTTTTGCCCTCATTTTGGGCATTAATGGGTAATAACCCGATTAAAACTCGACATTAACAGCGCATCTCCTACTATGACTCTAAGAGAGTTTAATATTCGCGTATTATCTTACAGTTATTTTACGAAATTTGTATAGTAATTACGCCGAACGCTTAAAATCACCACAAAATTTCTTCAGCTTACAAAAATACGCGGAAACCTCTATTTTTTTTATGTAGCAAAATTATACGAATTTTAAGCGATGGTGGGTGGGATCGTTTACCTTTGTAACTACGAACAATTATGGTTCAGGGAAATTACTACGGCGGTTTATTTATCGAAAAAGTTAATAAAGACAAAGTGTTACATAAATTATCACTTAAAACACTAAGCGCCCAGTTACACGAGCAGAAAGATTTCGCGCGGCCGCCGCGCGGCGACCGCTCAGTTGCCACGCCTTTATGTACATTAATGACGATTCTGAATTTTATTTACTAGGCAACAACATTTAAATTCCTCTGAAGAAATCTGTGAGTGCAATGAAATTCGTGTTGAATAAATGCGTCCTAAGTCTAAATCACAATCGTCGTTATGTTGCCATATCACAAAATAAAAAACAAAAATCTCACACGACTCAACAGCGAATTTTGTTGAATCAATTTTGTATGGTTCTCTGAACGTCTAAGATTGGAGTATTATTAAGTAGAGTAGGATATAGACTTGACGTAAACCACAGATTCCGTAATAAGTTGATGTATTAATTAAAAAGTGTACAGTATGGTTTTGAATGCTTATCTGTGGCCGATCGTTAGTGAAGCGAGTTATCAACTGTCTTTTATGACTATTTACACGTCCAATATGTACGTTGTTAAGTTAGCAAAGTAACGTACCGTACACGGTGCAAAAACCGTACATGCTCCCGAGGGAATAAATGAGAAGAATGATTTAGTCAGATAAGCACCCAGTATATAGCAAAAAACAAACAAAAACGTATCAGTAACTACACATGGAGATCAGCAAAGTGAAATCCTCGTCTTTTGGGTTTCGCTTCGGTGTAGATGTGTTCTGAAGATGCAGGACTATGCGTTTGCTGCATCTCGATATCATTCCGATGTTGTCTCTCAGTGTGTGTTGAGGGGGGTGTTCGTCTCAAACACCTTCTTTTCAAATGTCTAAACAACAGCATCATGGTGTTATATTCTGTTAGATGATGTAATTCGTGACGTAGATGATTCACGATTGTTTCACAGGGTGTACGTACGATATTTTGTGACATAGTTTATCAATTTCTTCAACGTAATCGTGTAGTTTTGTTGTGGCTTACCAGTATGATGTTAGGTTAAAGTACACCAGTAAAGTCCATTCGTCGTGTATTAGTTGTAGTTTTCCAGTTTCGTCAAAATGAATTGGATGATCCTTTTCTATGGACGTTACCCTGTACGTAATTAATTGTTGTGGTCGTGCTACACTTATGAACGTGAACAGCATCAATAGCACTGTAAGTAGAGAATATTGTGTTCTCCCTTTGCAGGATCGAGTGTTACGTGGTATGGATCTTGGTGCACTAGGAGTTGTTGTCGATTCTTGTACTGATTCGGTAGTTTGTAAGTTCTCTTACAGGGGCAGCGGAAGAAGTTTAGTAATCGGTCGTGTCAAGTGACCCCTTTTAGTTTTTAATGTGACTACTCGCACTTTGTCGTCACTACCAGGATGGATTTCCGTCACTCTACTGAGAGCCCATTTGCCATTTGCCAGGCGGTATAAGTATTCGTCCTTGACAAGGACAAAGGGTCGTTTCTAGAACTCTACTCAATGCTCAAGCCAGTTGTATGTCCAGTGCTTGTGCTTCCAGTGCAATCCTGACTTGAGCATTGAGTAGAGTTCTAGAATACGACCCTAAGTTTCCTTTTTCTAGATCCTTCTGTGGTTACTGCCATTTGCTGCGCACCTGTAGTTGATGTAAGTATTCACGCGACCAGCGTTTCCAGATATGTAAGTTCATTTGCTCCACTACTCGCCATCTACTTCTTAAATCTTGCTGGTTGAAATCTTCTTCTCGCGATAGTGAAAGTAGTAGCCCGCCAATAAGAAAGTGTCCCGGTGATATGTATTCTAGGTCGTCGATATCTTACGAGAGCGGGCACAGCGGGTGTGAGTTCAAGCAAGCTTCAATTTGGGTAAGTAGTGTAGTGAACTGCTCAAAAGTAAGTTTCTGATCGCCTAGAACCCTCTTAAGATGATACTTCATAGATTTAACGGCCGCCTCCTATAGTCCGTCAACTGTCGGCCAGAGAGGTGCGTTAATATGCCACTGCACTTGTAAGTGGGTCAATTCATCGGAAAATAACGACGTTTGAAATGTCTTGTTTCGTTCGAAATCTTCTTGTAGAATTTTCGCAGCACCGACAAAGTTCGTGCCATTGTCCGAAAACATGTGTTTTGGAGTTCCTCTTCGTGCACACTTCCTCTCGAAGGCCGCGAGAAAAGTCTATGTGGTCAAATCAGAAACTAATTCCAAATGGACGGCCTTTGTGACCATAGAGATGAAGATAGCGATGTTAAATTAAGACCTCCCCTTTCTCATGTTGTTCTTCGCAGTTGGTTAAGTTATTTGTGTTCATTATTTTGCTTTTCATTTGCAAGGCTCGCGTGAATCGCAGTGTCCAAGCGAGTACTCGGGTTACGCGCTTGAAGTTGCTGTATTTATTTATTAGTATTGTTGTAGTTTCCCAGGTATCATCAGTTTTCGTTGCGCAACACATTGTTTCCGTTCCATTTTGTGCGAAGTACGATAATGTTTTTTGTTTCAGTTCTGTTTGGTAAGTTTTCAAACATTGTGGACCCTCCCACCACAGGTTCAGAGATAAGAGTTGAGATGCTGAGAGTCCTCGTTTTGCACAATCCGCTGGATTATTTTTAGATTTCATGTAATGCCATTGACTTGAAGGAATTATGTTATTTATTTATGTTACTCTGTGTGCAATGTAACGCTTCCATTTATTTACATTGCCTTGTAGCTGTGCTAAAACTACTTGCGAGTCACTCCAGCAATGTATATGTAAGTTTAAGTTGTTCAAAGTTTTTGTGAGCTTTTCGACCAGTTGTGCCAGTAGAAGGTGCCCAAAAAGGTTCAAAGCTTCATTCGTGATAAAGTGATCTTTTTACTAAGGGGTGCGACTTTAGTTTTGGCAGCGATCAGAGTAGTTACATTATCGTCACCATCAATTTTCACCCTGCTGTACACGATGCAAGCAAACGCCTTTTCACTCACGTCGCAAAAGACGTGAATTTCTATATGTTTCTTTTCTTCACATTGTAGCCACCGCGGAATTTTGATTATGATGACATTTGGCAGATCGTTCTCATTGTTTTCCATTCTTTAACAATTTCCTCGGGTAGGTTTTCATCCCAGGCCATTTTACTAACGCACACCTTTTGAAATAATGGTTTTGCCTTTATCGTCACGGGTGAGAGCCAGCCAAGCGGGTCGTACGGTTTACTAATTTCTCCCAAAAAAATCCGTTTAGTCTGTTTTTTTCTTCAGGTAAATTCCAGTTGAATGTAAAATTGTCAGTTGCAGGATTCCATCTCATTCCAAGAGTTTTTGTATTTGTTGTTTGTTCTGGGCTAAAGTTGATGTTAGTTTTTGCATTTTTGATCATCTTCCAAATTTTCTAAAATTTTCTGATTGTTACTCATCCATTTCCTTAAGTTGAAACCCCCCTTTTTCAGTAAATAAATCAAGCCGTTGACCATTTTCTTTGCTGCATCAATGTCATGTCCGTAGTTTTCAAGTACGGTCGCAGTATCCGGGTGGTTATTTCGTTCATCTCACGCCAGTTGGTGGAGGGTGTGCATTGCAAGGTACGGCGCGGCCTTTGTGCCATAGGTAATCGGGTATTAGAGTAACAGTGCACAACTGCCATTCTTGCAAAGGTTCACAGGGAGATGACCTCCAGATGATAGTTTGAAGGTTTTGTTGATCTTCATGAAGCCAGATATGTCTGTACATCTTTTCTATGTCGGCAGTGAAGACATATTTGTACGTTCGCCAGTTTATCAGTAATGTAAGCAAGTCCTTTTGTAAGTTTGGGCCGCTTGACATGAGATCATTCAAGCTGTTCTCTGTTTTCGTTTTATAGGAGGCGTTGAATACAGCTCGTAGCTTCGTGGTGGTGGATTGCGTTTTTAAAACTCCGTAGTGAGGTAAGTACACAAGAAAATTATCCGACTCCAGACACTACGGCACACAGTTTACGCCGCGGTAATCTGAGACGTTGAGCTGCATCCTCTATTATCAGGCTAACCTGTGAGCCTTTATCGAGTATCCCTCTTAGTTTGATATAATCGCCGTCTATACTTTTCACCTTTAGTTGTATAATCGTTAATAAAACTGCTTACTCGTCATTAGTTGTGTTGTTAATAAAAGGTCCCCACCACAGTAGATGTTGAAGGGTTGAAAGTTTTTGGCTGGCCTGTTTCGTGCATGAGTGTATGATGAGGCTTGTAGCATAGTTTACATCTTTTTTGTGCATAATATTTCTCCGTGACTGTACAAACAGTTTTTTGCAAATACGTAAATCACGAACGGTGTTATGTCGCGTGACCGCGTTCATGTTCAAAAATTTCTGACATTGCATTAGAACATGATCGGTTTTGCAAATTGGGCATGTTCGCGTTGTCGTGAAGTGGCTCTTCGCCGTTATTTTTAGCTTGTTAAAGTACGATGACCTCGGTACATTGTAAAGTTTATAATAATTATTATGACGTGATGTCGACGGTACCATGTGACTTGATGGTTTGTACAACATTTGTTTCTGGTTGCTCCCGCCTTGTAACGTTTCAAGCGCTATAAATTTCGACTCCTGAATAAATTCCTGTAGGTTTGGAAAACTGGGTTCTTTCAGGTCTTTCATGTACTCGTTGTAGGTCACACTGTCCAGCTTCTGTACCAGTAGATGAACAATTATTGGGTCCCAAGTTTTTATATTGAGTCCAATATTTGTAAGTCCGTTCAGGCATTCTAGCATGACGTCATGAAGTTTCCTTATACTCGCAGCGCTCGCTTGTTGTATGGCAGACTGGTTCAATAGAGTGTTCATGTGCGATGTAAACAACAGTCGACCATTATCGAATCGGTGAGTAATTATCTCCCAGCAAGAAGTATAATTTTCTGCACTGATTCCAAAACGTTGTACCAATTTCTCGGCTTCACCCTTTAGTTTAGATTTTAGGTGTTTTAGGTAGCGGGTTGTTGTTTTTTACGCTTTCCATGTAGAGGTCCTTAAAAGTTAACCATTTGTTGTAATCTCCATAAAAATATGGTATTACAATTTTTGGTGTAGCGTTCTCGTAGTGAGAGTTATTCCAAATCTTATGTTGCAGCGTTTTCCGTATATATCCTCTACCACGTTGTATTTCTGTTTGTAAGTCGAGTCTTCGTCTTGAAGTGTGTAGTCAAGCTCCCAGTTAGCCTTTTCTATTTGACCCCATTTCATTTTCAAAGTTTAAGTTGTCTTCTAGCTCCCATTTCTCCATAGTTGTGTCTAAGTTAATTTTGTCCACAGTCCGTTCAAACGTTTTAAAGTTGCAATATCGTTGATTCAAAAGTTCTTTCTTCTTCTCTTCGGATCCGCCAGTTGCGGGGGGCGGGACATGAAATTCGACGTCGTTAAAGTTAAACTTTGATTTCACGTTCCCAACGTATTTTCTGGGAGTAGTTCCCGTCAGAGGTTAGGTTCCAGCTCTACCTTTCGTTTCAGCATGTTTTGCAATACTTTCTCGTACATAACTTTAGTTTTAGTGTAAATATCATCCTTAAAATATTGGATGTCAAGTTCTCCGGTCTCTTCAGTAACTTGGTGAGTGCGCACAAACAATTCCCACTGCTTGTTGAGCCGTGCGAGACGTTCGTCTAAGTAGATCAAAGTTTTTCTTGCAGAGCTATCTTTCGCGTAGTTGTTACATAACGTCTTCAGTATTTTCTTGTACAGTAATTAGTTACTTGACGCTCGGATCCATCGTTATAGTAAGTAAGTAAAAGAGTAGATAAGAGTAGATAATTAATTCGTAGAATAAGTATAAGTAGTAGTTAGATGTTAACCGTCGGCAGGTGTAGTGCGATGTATTGCCGTGGCACTAGTTCAATAGAATCACGAAGTTTCCGTTGATTCCTGTTTCTCAGTGCAGTTGCACTTAATAACGCTATGTGCGCCTTCTCAATACGACCGGTGAGACCCGCTTGTGGGAGGCCAGTCGTGCCGATTCGCTAATGTCACTAGCATAAAACACTGAAAAAACACTAGTAACTCGAAGGAGCAAAATGTATGGTTCTCTGAACGTCTAAGATTGGAGTATTATTAAGTAGAGTAGGATATAGAGTTGACGTAAACCACAGTTTCCGTAATAAGTTGATGTATTAAGTAAAAAGTGTGCAGTATAGTTTTGAATGCTTATCTGTGGCCGATCGCTAGTGAAGCGAGTTGTCAACTGTCTTTTTTGAGCGTTTACACGTGCAATATGTAGGTTGTTAAGTTAGCAAAGTATCGTGCGGTGCAAAAACCGTACAAATTTAATAATAAAAAATTAATGGCGATTTCAGTCGCAGTTAGCCAGCCTGCTGAAGACCGCCGAGGAGCTTCGCATCAAAGGCCTCACGGATATACGGTGGAACAACAAAGACGAACCGCCTGACAGTCATTCCGGTAAGTCCGGTTAAAAATAATCATTGTTTACAGCAGGTCCATACTCAGACCCTATGTTGTTTGTGCCAGTCACCACAATCTTACGCTGCACCCCTTTACGGTCCGCGGCCTTAACGTTGTCGTCGACCCATCTGAACATCATAATCATCAACCAATGGGGTCAGTTCAGATGGGTAGACGTCCAATTAACAATTGCATCACATTTATACATCCCATTATTTATACGTCCAATTAATTATGCAAATTCTTAATAACAAGTATTTAAGTAGTATGTGGTTGAAGTGCAATTAAATTTCTGTTTATATTTGTGGTATCGTCGTTGTTTCCGATTTCTATAACACATCATCATCAACCAATGGGTTCAGTTCAGATGAAGAGAGAAGATTTGTACGTCCAATTAAAAATTGCGTCAAATTTATACGTCCAATGAATTATTGCATCACATTTATGCTCCCATTAATCTTTGCATTACATTTATACTCTCATTATTCATTTAGTAATTATAATAAAGTTTAATTATATATAGATAATCGTGTAATGTAGCATATTCCCGGGGTGCACTATTTTATTATATTGGTCGGGACAAGCACCCTATTGTTACCTACAGCAATTTATCCAAGGTTCTACAACTAACGAAGGAAACCAACACCAAGTTTTAACATTGACCGTTTATTGATCGATTTACAATAAGTAATGAATGCACCTCTTAAGTATACTAGAATTACATGAACCACGCGGGGTTACTACCCTAACTAATCTAGTGACGGCGTTGAGCTAAAGGGTAGGTTTATGGGGTTGAGGGGTGAACAATTCGCACGGCCTGGACACGCTTTGGTCACGCGCAGCAATTGTTTCCCCAACACAGGAGGCGGACAGGGGTTAAGTGGGTATGCGGGGGTGAAGGGTGAGCGATTCGCACGGCCTGGACACACCTTGGTCACGCGCAGCAATCGCTACCCAACCCAGGAGATGGACGGGGGAGGATAGTCCCTACGGGGGGCGGAAGACGAGAAATACCCATGGGCTGTGCGCACCTTGGTCATGCGCTGCAATTACTCTGCATCAGCCCCTCGGAAGTTTTTACCGTAGCAAGCTCCTCCAACGAGTGATAACTTCGAGCGATATAGCCTCGTCTCCGCTCACGGCGCGTGTCGCGTGCGCACCTCCCGCCCGCTGTCGCCTGCGCCGCTTGCGTCGGTATCGGTCCGCGGAACTTTCCATGACGCACGATCGGCCGGCGCTGTGGCGAGTCTCGCCCGGTGCGACCCATCATAATCGTTTAATTTAATATTCTATTCTATGTATTATATTATTATTATTTTTCCGCAGGCGCAGTAACGACGACGACGACTCTAGAAAATCGGCAACAATCAACATCTCCCGAACGTCAACCATGTTCCAAAGACGCAAAAGTGATAGATCCCAAAAGCTCTCCTGAGCCCAAAAAGACTCCGGAGCCCAAAAAGACTCCAGAGCCCAAAAAGTCTCCAGAGCCAAAGTACACGGAGCCCATAAACCCCAACGAGCATCTCAGTTCTGAACTAAGAGCGTACATGAAGAGAGAACAAGATGATAAAGACGAATTTCCCGTTAAAGAGAAATTTAATCTAAACGGTAAGTGACACTAACTTTTAGTCATTAAGACTGCGATAGTGACATCTAGCGAGAGATTTTAGAACCTTCACCGCAGCCTTTACAGGTGCCACAACTGACGCAGAATAATCCAGTACAAGGAACAAACACACATGGGAGAATTTCGACATCTCGATAACTTGACCCGTAGCTCAGTTGGTAATTGCAATATTACCGTGCAATATGGTCGTAGGTTCAAGTCCCATCGGGTCGAAGAAAAGTTTTCTGTGTGTTCAATCTTTCTATTAATAATAATAATAAAGAGTAGTAGTTATAAAGCGAGGGAAATCCCCCGGTCATGACGCGCTCAGCGTAGAGCACCTACAGCACGCGGGCGTTCACTTATCGAGGGTGCTCGCCATGCTATACTCTTTTTGCGTTAGCCACTCATATCTGCCACAAGCTATGATGAAAACTGTGGTTGTTCCCATAATTAAGAATAAGACTGGGGATTTGTCTAGTATAAGCAATTATAGGCCAATATCACTTGCAACTATAATAGCCAAGGTGCTGGACGGTGTGATTGACATTCAATTGCGACAGAATCTAAAGTTAAATGATGCTCAGTTCGGTTTTAGAACTGGGCTTTCGACTGAAGCGGCCATATTGAATCTTAAACACACCGTTCAGTACTACACGGATAGAAACACGCCTGTCTACGCCTGTTTTCTAGACTTATCTAAGGCTTTTGATTTGGTGGTGTATGACAGGCTGTGGCAGAAGTTAGCGAGTGATACTGACCTGCCTCCTGAGCTCGGATCCCTACTGAAATACTGGTACGGTAATCAGAGCAATGTTGTGAAATGGTCAGGGTCACTATCTGATGTGTACGGGCTGGAATGTGGCGTAAGGCAAGGCGGGCTGACTTCTCCGACCCTTTTCAGCCTGTACATAAACCGCTTGATTTGTGGGCTCGGTGATGCTCGTGTCGGCTGCTCGGTTGATGGTGTGTTTGTAAACAACATCAGTTACGCGGACGACATGGTATTGCTGAGCCCATCGATCAGCGCCCTCAGAAAGTTACTGGCGATTTGTGAGTGTTATGCGTTGGCACATGGACTTAAGTATAATGCCACTAAAAGCAAGTTTATGTTATTTAAAGCGGGCCTTAAGACATACACCCGCGTCCCACCAGTATATTTGAATGGTAGTGTGCTTTCGCAAGTTACTAGTTTTAAGTATTTGGGACATTGGGTTACCGAGACGCTAGATGATGGTTTGGATATAGAGAGGGAGCGCAGGGCTCTGTCAGTTCGCGCAAATATGCTGGTTCGTAGGTTTGCACGGTGTACTGAACAAGTTAAGGCTACACTATTCAGAGCGTATTGTCAGTCGTTTTACACGTGCGGCCTATGGGCCAAATATACGAAGAAGTCCTACACTGCCCTGCGCACCCAATACAATAATGCGTTCAGGGCTTTGATGGGTCTGCCACCGTATTGCAGCGCGTCAGGGATGTTCGCGGACGCACAGATAGACTGCTTTTCGGCAATAATTCGCAAGCGAGTCGCGTCCCTGATGCGGCGGGTGCGGGGCAGCTCCAATACATACCTGAAGTTTTTCGCGTCGAGAATGGATCTGGACTGTCCAATAATGCGGCACTGGACGAAAATACACATTGAGCATTCCGGTTCCAGGCCGACCTATAGGTTTATATAAATTGCATGCTATATATATATTATTAGGTAACAATTTGAATTTAATTAATTTGGTTTTATATTTTTGATGTTAATTTATGTATGTTACTGATATTAATTTTTTATAACTTAAATTTATAATATTGAAAAGCTTTTTAATTTATATTTTATATGTTTTATTTTGATTTATACAATTGATTAATTTAACTTTGTAAACTAGCGTAGGTAAAGTCTAACACTAGTTTTTTAAGTACTTCTACTAACACATATTATGGATTGAATGTCTGAAATAAATAAATTAAATTAAAAAATTTCACAAAATATGTCAATAATAACTTCATTATGGTTTATTGAGATTTTTTTGGGAAATAACTCCCCTAGTTTTGTTATAATTATTAATACAAAGATCTCGAAGATCGAATCTTAGAAAAAATTCTTCGATCCGGCCGGATTCAAACCGACGTCTTCTAGCAAACCGTGCCAGACGCTATGCCACTAACAATTTACAGCCACCAGCCCGGCTAAAGATGTCGCTATTCACTGTATTAAAATTTTTATTCAATTACTTTTGAGAAATTACTCCACTGGCAACAACTGACATTTTTTTATCCCGTTTGTCACCACCTGGTATCTGGTAGTATAAAAATTAGTGGAGTTAATTCACAAGAAATGTCAAGAATAAGTTCGTTATGGTTTATTGAGATTTTTTTGGGAAATAACAGGATCGAACACAGAAAAGTTTTTTTTCGTCGACCCGGTACGACTTAATACTACATCTATGCTGCACCGTAGCATTGCTCTAACCACTGGACACCGGACGTAGCTCAGATGGTTAGATGGTGTTTTCCTGTGTGTTCGATCTTTTCATTATGGTTACTAAAATGTCAATAATACAAATTCTACAATAACTAATACGATAAAAATAAAATCGTATTAAAATATTTTTGGTTTTAGGAGGTCCGCCGCCGTTAATAAAGCTGCCTACGAAGGAGAAAACCAGTCTTATCAAGAGAGAGAATTCCGATACGTAAGTACTCATTATCATCAACCCATTGATAAGTCGCGGGTCACCTCTCAGTCGAGGGTTTAGGCCACAGGCTGCCCACTGGCCCAATACGGGTTGGGAACTTAACACGTTTTCCGAAAGCTGTGAATCTTCTTCAACGTGCAAGTGTTGTCCTTCGCCGAAAAGCTCATGGTAAATCTCAAATTAAACGACCGCCGAAATACCGAATTAGTATGGAGCTTTGTACTTTATTACCAGAAAAATTTTACCAGACTCAATTTTTTTGTTATATATAAGCTTCACAATTTATTAACAAAATAATAAAAAAAATTATTGTGACCTGCATATTTTATTTATTTATTTAAAACAAAAGTGTGGTAGATATGTTAAATTAATTCTAGCAACACTGAGGTAGTAAAAAAAGTCCAAAAGCAGCAACACTTAAACGCTAAAATGTTCAAAACCACAATTCTAATTGGCTAATTAAATTGCAACAAGAATGACTTTGACGTCTGATGTGTCAATATTTTTTTATGCCCATTAGCCACAAAATTACATGAAATTGCGTTCCGTTCCGTAGGATTGCGTTCCATTTTACTTTACATAGTATTAAATGTCCCTAACGATTTTCTGGAAATTGCAGGCCAAAAATAATTTGTCTTTGATTCAGACTTTCTAGATTTTAAGAGCTCTTTACAAAAAACCAACTAATAGCCTGGTTAAATTTTCCATTTATTTTAGTACCACTAAAAGAACAACTCCTTTATTACTTAAATTTCGAAAAACTCTGAGGTGCGTGCCCGGACTCGAATCCACGGCCTCTGCCTGAGAGCACAACACAAGCTATTTTGCACTATTTAACATACACTGAGTGTGCGGAGTAGTAAAGTAATTTATTTCCCTTTCTATTAATTTATTTCCATTTCTATTTATTTGTTTACATTTCTATTAATTTAGTAGCGGTAGAGGTCCTTGTGAAAGAGTTCGTCCAGGGTAGTACTGCCACCTTACCTATTTCTACAGTAACGTTAGCATTAATGTGTTCCGGTTTTGAAAGGTAAAATGGTGCTGGTGAAATTACAGGTACATGGGGCTTGTCAAACTACTAAAACTATTTATAATAAAACTATTTATGCAATTCAAAGCTCTGAGTGGCACTGTAACTGTTATGGGCAGGCGTGTAGCTTACTATCAGGTGCGCGACTCGTTCGTCCTGTCACTTGATGTTATAAAAATATATATATTTCCATTTCTATTAATTCATTTCCATTTTTATTAATTCATTTCCATTTCTATTAATTTACTTCCATTTTAATATAGCTTTTTTCCGCCTTCTAAACGTAGCGTATCGTGGTTAGTGTGTTTTTGTTACTAACTGACACCTATCATGAATTGCAGGGACAGCCCAAGTCCGAAACGTCAACGCATTGCCAGCGGAGCTGAGAACACCGACGACGAATCTATCTGTCATACTAAATCGTAAGTTTTTTTTATGAGTTTTTAAGGGAGTTCGTGTACGACATCCTGACTCGTAATGCATATTTCTGCTGCCAAGCAGTAATGTGAGGATTACTGCGTTCCGGTTTTGTGTGTGTTCTGAATAACGTTTGTAGCCTTTGCCGGTCGAGAAGTTCGAGTAATCGTACGGGTGTGACGTCATTTCGGTTCGGTTTCGAATAAGACAGTTTGACGTTCGACTCTATCTCCATCAACTTATCGAACAACCAATCGAATAAGAATATCGAATATGACTGAATGCAATTACAATTACGAATTACAATAAATCTCACTAATATTTGTACAGATACGGTGTCTCCCATAACGTACCGGCCTTATCAATTCGCCGCGGACGCCGCTTGGCCAATCAGAGCTCCTGAATTACTCATCATTCTTGCAATTGTACTCATATTGCTCCGACAGGCCAGATGCGTACGGCCGTCCGTAACACAATATTTGGTTATTCTGCTAAAAATATCTTTTATTTATTAGCAGTAGAGCTACTTGTGAGAGAGTTCGTCCAGGGAAGTACTGCCACCTTATCTATTTCTGCCGCCAAGCAGTAATGTAAGCATTGTAAGGGTGCTGGTGAAATTACAGGCACTTGTCAACTTATGTCTCAAGGTGTCCAGACGTAGTGGTAGTGCCCCCCAGATCTTTGCGATTTAAAATTCTGGGTGGTATTAGGCATACGTCTTGTTCGTCCCGTCTCTAGGTACCAAAAAAAAAAAAAACTATTTGCAATGGCAGTCGAATCGTAATATAGTATTTGTGGAAAGGCAGTGATGGCATTCATTCATTCAATCGCTATAGTCGTCACCAATTAAAAGGCCAAATTTGACACTTGACATCGTGACGCGAATAGGGATGTGGACTAATAATATCGGTAATCACATTATACGATTTTCACGAGAAACCGATTCAAAATTTTAAGAGTTTGTCATTGTTTAGATTATTTTTCGGTTCATTGTTGTTCAGGGGGCCTAAAAGGCTAAATCGTGCGATTCTGTTAAAAGCAATTCATTTACAGAATAACGCGCACACTCAACATAGCCCCGCACTAGGGAAACCCTGTGTCGCGGGTGCCATGGACACACACATAGACAACCACAAATTACATCCAAACTCACGAGAGGAATAATCGTAGGCCATACAACTATTTCTCCCGGCCCGGGAATCGAACCTGGGACCTCTGCGTGGCAGTCCGGCAGTATGGTAACCGTTGGGCCACGGAGGCAGTTAACACTAACAGAATCCCTTGCAATTCTGTAGCAATTCCTCTTATTTTCGTAAAATTGTCCCACATTCCGATGAATTGTATCCAATTCTTTTAATTTTGATTTTATAATATTCATAAATGGTTTATTACGAGAATTTAGTGTAAATAAGTATATTCGTCAATAAAAAAGTACACAAGTCAATATTTTTTCCGAGAAATCGAAGTGAATCGGTGAAATTCGGCGATTAATTGCTTACAACACTATTATTTAAGAAAAAATAGCTTGAGGACGTAACTTTTATCAGGACGTTTCGGAGTGCGAAAACAATACCTCAAATATGTTTTGTCATGAAATATAATGTTTCAATAAAATTTATATATATTTTTTGAACTCAATTATGCTAATAATTGTTTGTGTTATTGTTTCGTTGATTTGCATTCAAAGTTACATACTATCGCCTACTTTTGCTGTCAAATTTGGCCTCTTATGTGGTGACGACTATAACGACTAAAACTTATCACCGAAATAATTATGCATATCTTAATTTTTATCTCGTTTAAACAACAATTTAGTTTTTAAATTAAATATATCGCACTGCTATTACAATAGTGTTGTAACTCGAAATTTGTGATATTTAATATTATATCATTACTGAACGTAAAGTTTGATTCTCTAAACGTCAAAAATACCATCGTTAGAATATTGTAAGAAATAATCAAAAGATATCCACTTATGAGACACACTTTATGTGGGCTAGTTCTGGCCACAATAATCCTTATTCAAAAATATTAAATTATTTTTTCCATTTTATTTTCAAATATATTTGAGAAATTGTTTAAGTGTCTATAATAAACTATAACATACATAAATTTTAATGTCTTTTTGCGGGAAGTGAGTAATTAGTGAGCGTTTTTCATCGATTCTGAGAAAGTCCACTTTTTGAGTTAATACACTATTGTATTAACAGTGCGATATATAATATCAGTAGACTACACAATTGACGCACCATCGACTCGCCATTGAAGAGCAGTATACCAAAAAATTGCAATGTTAGTTGAATAGCTCGATGGCTAATTACTGAGAATCCACTGCTCTTAACTTTTAACAGAATACCAAACGTACAAAACCCAGCCATCATCGAGTATATAACCAGAAATAGAGACGAAATAAGGGCCATCGATCCCTGGCAACTCATCAGGCAAATGGGCCTGATATCACTTTTAAATATCAACTCTCGTTTGCACTGAAATCACAAATTAGAAAGTGGAAATAGTACAGTGCCAACAACTGACCTGTGTTTACGTCTCCATATATTCCAAAAATATTCTGTGTTTATTGTAATAAAGATAATAATCTTAACTATGGTGGCATGTTCCATTTGCTGTAGTGGGAAAAAGCGTAAAACATCTAATTACAAAACAAACGGAATCACATTTCATCGGTAATTAAATATGTAATTTTGCAATTTTCGTCCATTATAGCGAAGCTCAAGTTAACTGATCGATTTGAAGTGAAACAATGGACGATACCCGTCAATTGTTTCAAATTCGGGCTGGCCAATCGGAGCACCGTTGTCACCGTAATGATTTGACGGAATAGTTTACAAACAAATTATATGACATATCGTCTCTATTTCTGGTTATATATTCGATGCCTGCCATTGACGCTCTATCCACCCGCAACTGAGATGATTTAAAATTTCCAGACTTAGGGACCAGGAGTTTGTGTGTAAAAATACGTACTATCCACTTTCATACAATCTATTTGAATTGAATTTCAAAGAATCTAATTGACTGAGTTTTTTTCTGTTTCAGGGAAAGTAATCAAGAATGGCAACACGGGAATTTGGTAGGTGTATGTATTTTCTTTTATCATTTTATTTAAATATGAATTAAGCGAGTTACTGCCCGGGGATAATCAAAGTACTAATTATATTTAACCGACTCCAAAACAAGGAGGAATTATCAATAATCCTAAATATCTTATGCTATAACTCTGGCATTTGTGAACCGATTTTGATGATGCTTTTTTTTTTGTTAGAAAGAGGGTACGTCATTATTGGTCCCATTTAAATTTGAATGAAATATTGCACCTCTAAAGGTGCACCTCCAAACTAGGGGATGAATCCGGTTTCGCGCATTTCCCAGTAACCGATTTCAATAAAACTTGGCAAACAGATGTGATTCCACGAACTTTTGAGGTCGGTTTTTTAAAATAAAAAAGTTCAATTATTTTATACCAATTCCGTTGCCTATTCTACACTACTCAGTACAAGGAATAGCTCAATAAAACGACGTGTTGTTCGGTAACAATACGTCCGTTCACACCTATATATCGTCGCCTTACTTTCTCTAACTCGTATCTTAACGTACAAAGTTACTGAAATGCTAAAAATGGTTTGTATATACAAATTTTACCGTCTAATTTCACATCACATTTCCTTCATATTCACACACTGGCCTATACCTGTTCTTAAAGTAATGCATTCAAATTAATACCCTTGATAAGAAATTTAAAAATAAATAGAAAGTTTTGCCGTTTCCTCAATAATCACTCTTTATAAGATACGAGTAAGGCATTGATATATAGCGTCGTAATGGCGGGAGCGGGCAGGCACTAGCGTACTTTGTTTTCTATACACCACACTATTCATTGAAGCTAATCGCTGTTCCATGTGTTTTGCAGGATATAACTGCAGAGCGAGTAGTCGGTTGGGGAATGGGTGAATCTGAAAGCGGCGATTGGTCGCGAGACGGATCGGACGAGGATTGGGCAGACGCGCCCACGGACATTGGATCCTTCCTGCACACGAAGTTGAGGGTGGATGGCGATAATAGTGCCGGTAAGGGTAATGGCTATACAAGTTACTTAATAAGTTACCGTTACGATTTCGAAAGTATACGGATCTAGAAAACCGTTATTTCACAAAAAAAATTCGCAATAATACATAACCAAAAAGCGACATCTATGTCAGTTGAAGCACCTGCAAAGGTGAAGAAGGTTCTCTCACTAGATGTCACTAGTGGTTCAGAATGCCTAGAAATCGGCTTATTCCCAGTTGGGAAAAAAGGGAATAAAAGAAAATTCGAGTTTAACTCAGTTTTAACCGACTTCAAAAAAGGAGGAGGTTCTCGATTCGTCTGTATGTTTTTTTGTGTATGTATGTTACGCGATAACTTGACGATCTTGTTTGAAAGAGGGTACCTCAGTAGTGGTCCCATTTAATTTTGAGGAAAATGTTCCACCTTTAAGGGTGGCTGTTGCCGCATGAAGATTTATTTTTATAAATAGCGCCTAAATTTTATGAGGAGCAATTGTTTTTATGGTTGATTTTGCTATGCTCCAATTGCAGGTTAAAACTTGGTAAATGGATGTCATTCCACGAACTTTGAGGTCGGTTTTTTTAGTACTCTGTACTGATATATTTATAGTGTCCAGAGTTTCTGAATAATTGTCAATGGCGGTAATAAACAAACATTAATTGGTATATTTCTTCCATTTGTTTTTTTTAACACTGGCAACTATTGGGCTAAATTTTTATTGAATTGATATTCAATTATTTTTGTGAAATTACTTCACTAGTTTGTTAAAATTATTAATATAAAGATCGAACACTTAGAAAAAATGCCCTCGATCCGGCCGGATTCGAACCGACGTCTTCTAGCAAACCGTGCCAGACGCTATGCCAACTAACAATTTACAGCTACCAGGCTAAAGATGTCGCTACTCACTGTATTAAATTTTTCATTGAATTGATATTCAATTATTTTTGAGAAATTACTCCACTGGCAACAACTGGCATTTTTTTATCCCATTTGTCACCACCTGGTACCTGGTGGTATAAAAACTAGTGGAGAAATGTCAACAATAAGTGCGTTATGGTTTATTGAGATTTTTTTGTGAAATAACTCCACTACTTTTGTTATGATTATGATACAAATATCGAACACACGGAGGAATTTCGTCGACCCGGTGGGACTTGAACCCACGACCATGCTGCACCGTAACATTGCTCTGACCACTGGACCACCGAACGTGGCTCAAATAGACGTGGGTTCAATCTGTTTGTTCGATCTTTTCATTATGGTTACTAAAATTCATTTCAGTTGATCCTTATCAATATTTATTTCTCAACCAGACGAAGAATCCAACGACGGATCGACGACAACGGTGCCCCCTCCAATAGTAACTTCGACTTCCAGTCGTGACGCGTCACTTCCGAGCTCGACGTCCACCTCGGCGTCGGCCATTTCCCCCGCGGACATCAAAGTGGATTTGTTTCACGCGCCTATTATTAACAAACGTGAGTAGTGTCCTGATTAGTGATGCAACGGAAGTGTTAAAACGGAAACAGTGTTAAGCAATAGACACTCAACTTAATCTTGGCTTGCTGTACTAAACTCAAACTAGGATGATCTAGTGATGTGCAAGAAGTAACATGGAGAAAAAAAAACAGTGGAAGTGCCCTAAGCCTCGATTACTATGAGAATCGATGTCGCAAAACTCACACATTCTTACAGCGCCAACAACTGTTCTATGTGTACGTCTCCGTATATTCCAAAAAGATGCTGTATTTATTGTAATAAAGCATAATAAAGATAATATCTCTATCAATGGGGCTTGTTCCATTCGGTGGTGTGGGGAAAAACAGCAAAATATTTAATTACAAAACAAACGGAATCACATTTCATCGGTAATTAAATATTTTAATATTCAATTTTCGTCCATTATAGCAAAGCTCAAGTTGAAAGTGGTCGATGTTTCACTTCAACAATTGATGACACTCGTCAATTGTTTCGAGTTCGGGCTGGCCCTTGGCTGGCCAATCGGAGCGCAGTTTTCACCGTAATGCTTTGGCAGAATAGTTTGCAAACAACTTAAATGACATTCCGTCTCTTTCTGGTTATATACCCGATGATAGCAAATTATTACTTTCTGCTACAGCAACAGCAGGGCCGAAGTCAGGCCCGACGGACCCGCGATTCACGGACGTCGTGAAACTGAATGACTACCTCCAGCATGGCAGGAGACCGCAGTTCTGGGAGGAGAACTACGTTAAACGGGTAAGTTTGCAGTTCATAGATGGCATGTCAATTACCTTCGTTTCTTTGTCCTGCAATAATATGTATTTAGGGCGTTGAATAAAGTACGTCTGAAGGAACAATTGGCAGACTCCCATAAATGTTTTTGTCGACATAATTAATATGCGTCTGTTTATGAAAAATATGTGATAATATGCAGTTGAACTATTCTGAGAAGTCAGGAATTTAACATGTTCCAGTTTGAAGTTTTGGAGGTTATGTGTTACGTAATTGAATAAAATATGTTCGGTGTATTATTGTTTTAAAATAAAGTACAGAAGCTTTAAACAGAGTCAATAGAAACTGAAAGGTGCCGTGGTTTTGTGACGTGACGAAAGTTCAGAGGAAATTATTTTGTATACTGGTATGGCTAAAAGGCCTGCAGTTAAGCCATAACAAAAATGCTGAGTTAATTAATGACATATCACCATTGACTTACAATTATATGGACGTCGGGTCCGTGCTAAAAAGTGTCCGAAATTATAGGGCGTTAAAATCGTATACAGAGCGTCATTCACGCTTTAGTCTTCGTTTGTTCGACTGACAGCGAAGCAAGCAAAATTAGACAGTACTGCGATGTCATTACAATTTAAATCGAACGTTTTAGCTTTTTCATATTCCTTTACATGTCACTACGTTTAAATAGCACTTGGGACATTTTTTTCGTGGTTTTTGTATTAGACCCGTCGTCCATTTATTTGTAAGTCAATGCATATCACAGACTATTTCAGTGGTAACTCGGACACAAATTATTTTATTGTGAAACGTTACCATCTATCCCTGATTTTGGGAACTTTTTTTGTCAGTTTTACCATTTTCGCGCGTGGCATTTCGGAGAAGAAACTCGACTTTATTTTTTGTAATTAAGTAGTTAATCTTTCGTTAACTTATTAGAAGTCGGTCGAATCTGTACATTTGATATTACGTGAACTAAATGTGGACCATATCCATACGTAGGTACTGAAATTCCTTTTCTGGCGGCTAGATATCCGATGTAGAATCCAGTCGGATAGAAGTGAATTTTTTCTAAGTGTTTGATCTTTGTATGAAGAATTATAACAAACTACTGGAGTAATTTCACAAAAAGATAATTGAATATCGATTCAATACAAATTTAACAGTATATAAACAACTTAAAACTAATGTGGGCAAAGGCCGTCTTATCGCTAGAGCTAATTGGTCATGCCTGTGACTTTAGCGGCTATCCTCCAATTGTATAATAAATGTACCAAAGCCAAAGGGCAACTGAATAGAACCCGAAGACAGCCGAAACACAAAGTTTTTCAAGGGTCATTGAGAAAATAGAAACACTGTATCTACATATTGGTTTTTTCTCTATTGTTATATAGGTAATGGAAGCAGTACGTCTAAAAGAACTAGAAATGAAGCAAGCGGCTGAGATTCTAGGCGTGAGCTACGGAACCCTCTACGGGCGTTACAGAGATGTCTACGGGTGCATCAATCGCCCTTATAGGTACGTACAACCCGGCCGATATATTGTCGGTGTTTTATCATCGAGTATATAACCAGAAATAGAGACGAAATGTCATTTAATTTGTTCGAAAACTATTCTGCCAATTCATTACGGTGACAACTGCGCTCCAATTGGCCAGCTCGAATTCGAAATAATTGACGGGTGTCGTCAATTGTTTCACTTCAAAACCACCAGTTCAACTTGCGTTATATTTAATTACCGGTTAAATGTAATTCCTTTTAATAATAACATAATAAATACAGAATATTTTTGGAATATACGAAGATTTTGAATATACACACAAATCAGTTGTTGGCGCTGTACTATTTCAGCTCTCTAATTTGTTATTTCAGCGCAAGCGAGAGTTGATATTTAAAAGTGATATATAGCCCATTTGCGTAATAAGTTGCCAGGTATGGATGGCCCTTATTTTGCCTCTATTTCTGGTTATATACTCGATGGTGTTTTGTCCAAAGGGTAAAAGCGCCATTTTGACTTTTTTTCAGTGTTGTGTTAAAATGTTTACGTACTGTTTTTAAAACTTTAAGTTAAAAAAAAAAAACTGAATTTTAAAACAGGGCGTAAATATTTTAAAACAGTCGTTAATATCTAAACATTCATCCCTGAAAAAAATTTCAAAATGGCGCTTTTGCCCTTTGTAAATACACCGACGATACTACGTAGCTTTAGTACTTCTAGCACGAGGTTATTCTCTAGTTTCCGTCCAGATGATATGATTGTCTAGCACATTAATACTTTTAGGATTAAATAGACAAACTAGGAACCCTATATGGTTTAAACTGCAAAAGTCAGTCTATTTTAACAACATGTATACATATATACAACATGTATATATACCTAACTGTATACACATATAGACCCCTCCTACGTAAAGTATCGTATGTCGAAATTGCCAAGTTTACAGGGGAGCGTTTTAAAGTTCTGAATTCATTGAAATAAGCATAACACGTGTCTAGCATTTCTCAGTTGTATTCGGCAAAACTCGTTACTCATATAGAGTATTATAAAGTCCTAGATATCGGTTAGATGATCACTCTATGTGAGTAACGATCTTTGACGAATAAAATGGAGACTTTTTTTCAACTTTTCAACTGCCTTTACAACATTCAACTGCCTCCGTGGCCGAACGGTTACCATGCCGGACTGCCACGCAGAGGTCCCAGGTTCGATTCCCGGGCCGGGAGAAATGTTTGTATGGCCTACATTTATTTCTCTCGTGAGTTTGGGTGTAATTTGTGGTTGTCTATGTGTGTGTCCATGGCACCCGCGACACAGGGTTTCCCTAGTGCGGGGCTATGTTGAGTGTGTGCGTTATTTATTATTATTATTTATTAATTACACCCAAACTCACGAGAGAACTAAATGTAGTCCATACAAATATTTCTCCCGACCCGGAAATCGAACCCGGGACCTCTGCGTGGCAGCATGGTGACCGTTCGGCGATTGAGGCAGTTTATATTAATAATTATATTTTAAAAAAACTTGCGAGCTGTAAAATATTCCTTACATGCTATTCCCAAATTCATTCACGAACTTCAGAAGTTCAAACACAACTGCACTTCAAAATCTATTAGACACTTCAGGCACTCACGTGGTATTGTGAAGCCGGTTCCATTCTACTTTTTTATTATAAGTAATTTATAAATTTTTTATTATAAGTTTTTTTTATTATAAGTTTTTTTTATTATAAGCAATTTATTATTTTTTATATGTTCTTTTTTATTACAAATAATAAAAAAGAGGTCACAACTACTTCAGCCTCCCTATTAGCACAAAAAACATTTTATTTTTCAGAAACCCTGGTAAATTTCTTTTTGATAGAACCGCGAGGGAGTTCTGGAGCCCGAAAGGTCCGTCGGATGTCCTGGAGCGGCTACAGCGGGGTGAGATAACACTGGACTCGGCCTCTGCTGCGTTAGGTGTGACACCTTCCAATTTAGCAGCTTATGTTGCTGACGCTGGACCTGCTGAGAAAGGTGATTATAGCACAAATCACCTCTATTCATTTCCTCCCACTCTCCACTTCCACCCATTGCCACCTCCCCATAAATCCACTTTATCTCCCAAAGACGGTAGCAGTTGCTGATGTTAGACCTATTGAAGTGTGTGATGATATTGACGATCTTGATGACACAACAGTTTGCGCTGTGGGCGCTGAATGAGGAAGCCCTAGAGTTGGTTCTGGTCTGGGTGTTCTGGGTAGTGGCCCAGATTACTTAATAGTCACTACTTAACAGATACATCACTCTCACACAAAACCGAAAATTCCTACGCTGTAATAGCTTACTAAATCTGACTAATGACACCTGGCGCTCACTACAAAGAAAAAGGAACCTTAGCCCGCGTTCAGTGAGGTGAAAACAACGTTGTCCGCCGTACGCAGTCGCGCGGAGCCGATTGCTCATAAATAAAAAACTTGTATGAGCGCTTGTACCGACGTCTGTACACTCACCGGTGGGCACTTATCGTCCGTGTATTCTTTTACACTGGTACTCATATTGCACGGAGTTCCTTAATTTTGAGACCAGGAAATTTGTGTGGTTGTTCAAATCAAATTAAATTACTGTGTACGCACGTCTATAAGGTCTTATTTCTAGGTTCGGCGAACTAAAGCACATAAGTCAAAATCCAACATCATTCATTTAAATTAATACATCTACCGGCTAAAGCACATGAGTCAAATTAATTTGTTACTTCATACATTTGTAACTTTATTCTAGAGGCGTCTTTTTCAAATTTATCATTCTCTTCACATCTTCCAACACTATAAACATCACAAAAATATATAATTCTATATTAACAAATGAAGTACTTTTTTTACTTATGTGCTTTAGTCCGCCGACCCTCGATTTAACATTGTTGTGTCAGTACGTATTGCCAATTTTACGGCATACAATGTACATAATTAAATTAATTTAACAGTAAATTACTAAATTTTAATTACGAAATGTCAAATGTTAATTTTAATTTAAATTCTTAATTACACTTATCGTAGTTAACTATTATTGTATGTTTTTGTCATTTAAGTAATCGCTGACTTTATAATATGCTTTCCTAGTCAATAAATTAAATAATCGCTTTTTGAAATTGGTATCGTCGTTAGTCGCAAGTATATAACTAGGCAACTTATTGTATAGTTTTGGTGCCATCGTACAAATATTATCATGAAAGAGGGTAGTCTTACAGGCTTACATTTCCACCTTGCTGAAGTGTGTGGGATTTCTCCGAACAAAAAGAGCCGTTTCAAATATGTATATTGAAGGAACTGTTGATAATCTTAGTTTTTGAAAGTGTGGTATATAGCTGTCCATACAGCACAAGCCACAAATTGCCTGAATACACCTTTTTTTGTGCAATCAACACGTCCGTACTACGTTTGGCATTACCCCAGAACATAATACCGTATCTTATGATTGAGTCTACATACACGAGGTAAGCCATTACTTATTTATTAGTATATAAAGTTGTACACAGTTGTGCACTTATGCATTTTGGTCTACAACTTTAGATAGTCTCCACAAAGCGTATGCAAATCTATTTATTCTTATACAGAAGATTTCTATGTGTTTTTCCCATGTTTTGGATTACTACATACCGTCTTCCAGTGTCATCGCCAATCGCAGAGGACGCCCTTGGTTCAATCGCGAATGCATGGACGCTGTTAGTGAGAAACAGGCTGCATATCGTGGTTGGATCAGGGGTCGTGTAACAAAGGATCCCAACCTTGCGTCCCTTAAAGCAGCCTATAACAAAGCAACCAAGTCTTGCAGGAGGGCTTACATAAGAGCGGATGCCCAGCGCGTTTCACGGATTGGCCAGAAGCTGGTAGCCCATCCCACCGGTAGCCGTGCCTACTGGAGCCTGGCCAAAGCCGTGGAGTCCAATTTTTGTCGTTCGTCGCTGCCGCCTTTGAGGTATCCCGATGGATTTTTGGCCTATGGCCCCGAAGAGAAAGCCAATTTATTGGCCGACCTTTTTGGGGCTAACTCGCGCATTCACGACCAAGATGCGCAACCGCCGTCAATTCCCCACTGCGGAGTCACAATGCCTGATATAGTTATCAGACAATGTGATGTCCGCAAGGAATTGCAGACTCTTGACGTGCGGAAAGCCTATGGTCCGGATGGGATACCTCCTATCGTCCTTAAAAGGTGTGCGGCGGAGTTGTCTCCCGTACTGACGCGCTTATACCGCCTCTCATACCAATCTGGTAACGTGCCCCTAGCTTGGAGGGAGGCCAACGTGCAACCTATCCCCAAGAAAGGAGATCGGTCTGATCCGACAAACTATCGCCCAATAGCTGTCACTTCAGTGATCTGCAAAGTGATGGAGCGGATTCTAAATATCCAGATAATCAGGCACCTGGAACGTCACTCCATTCTTAATGATCGGCAGTATGGGTTTCGGCCGAACCGATCAACGGGTGACGTTCTAGCGTATCTAATGCATCTCTGGGGTGAAGCTATCGACAAACAGGGCGAAACCTTAGCGATAAGTCTGGATATTGCTAAGGCCTTTGATCGGGTCTGGCACCGTGGTCTCCTCTCCAAGCTTCCGGCATATGGTCTTCCCGGCCGCCTTTGTGAGTGGATCTCCGGCTTTCTGCGCGAGCGAAGATTGCGTGTCCTTGTTGACGGAGGCACTTCGCGGCTCGTGACAGTTAATGCTGGGGTGCCACAGGGCTCAGTGCTGTCGCCCACGCTGTTCCTTCTGCATATCAATGACTTGTTGCCTTTTGGCAACATTCATTGCTATGCAGATGATAGCACAGTGCACGGTTGCTATTATAAGCAATCGTCAAGCACCCGGGAGGACCCTGAGAGAAACCGGGAAAAACTTGTCGCTGAGCTCAACCATGTTTTGGAGCATATATCGTCATGGGGCTCCCGAAACTTGGTTGAGTTCAACGCCAAGAAAACCCAGGTATGCGCGTTCAGCTCCAAAAAATCCCCATTCCTTCCACTTCCCCATCTTCAGGGTACAACGCTGACGCTGCAGGACAGGCTCAGTCTACTGGGGATGAGCATCCGGAAGGACATGAGCAACAAAGATTACATCGAGAGCGTCATCTGTACCGCGTCGCGCAAGCTTGGCATCCTGAACAAGGTGCACCGATTTTTTACTCCAGAGCTGCGATACCTGTTGTATAAAGCTCAGGTCCGAAGCAGCATGGAGTACTGTTCGCACCTTTGGGACGGCTCTGCCAAGTACTTGCTCGATGCCCTAGATGGACTGCAGCGCTACGCCTTCCGTGTTGTCAACGATCCTCATGTAACTGAGCATGCGGAGTCGTTACAGCTTCGCAGAGATATAGCGTCTCTTAGCGTATTCTATCGTCTGTACCACGGTGAGTGCTCTGAAGAGTTATTCAACCTTGTCCCTTCCTCTCCTTTCCATCAGCGGACCACCCGTGCCGGACTGCGTTGCCACAGTTGGACGGTCAGTTCAATACCGTCCCGCACTAAAAAGTTTGGCAATTCGTTTTTATGCCGAACCATCAAATTGTGGAACCAACTCCCGGCGCATGTATTCCCTCCCCTCTATAACATCGGGTCCTTCAAACGTAGTGTGAAGAAGCATTTGGCCAGACCGGCAAAATGATAGTGACGGAGTGAAGATATTTGTGTTTTCCATCCGTTACTCTCATCTCTGGACTGTATTCGCACTTTCCATCAGGCGCGGTGCAGTCATTTTGCCGAGTCACAATAAAAAAAAAAAAAAAAAAAAAAAGTTTTATCCTATTGTCTATGTATATTGCTAAAAATTTTGCGGAAATTGCAAAATTCCTTCAATTTCATATTCACATAGCTTATATTATGTTGAGTATATACTTTATTAATTTTGTGTTTAAAATTCATATACATTTTGTTATAATTATTAATACAAAGATCGAACACTCAGAGAAAATTCCTTCGATCCGGCCGGATTCGAGCCGACATCTTCTGGCATACCGTGGCAGACGCTATACCAACTAAGCCACGGCTCACTTGTTACTAAGAGAACCTATAATCTATTTGTATACCTCACAACCATCAACATGAATACGCAAACAAAAGGAAGCAGTGCAAATACAGCAATACAAGTCACACTACAATAACAGACAAAAACAAAGAAATCACAAAAACGGTTTGAACATCATTTATCCATAATAGTAAATAGTATTAGTTTTATTTTATATAAGTTCAGTGATGTGGTTGTTAAATCTTAATAGCGACTTATCAAATATTTCTATACTCATGAATTTGCTATTATATAAGGTACATGCTCAGTTTATAAAACTATTACTTCCATAGCAGGTCTTTCTTGGTTTAATGGCAAATAGTGTTTTTTTACGACTTGTTCTTTCTTGCTTATAAGGTACACGTAAATAATAAAATTATAAAAATTATAAAAAAAGTACAAAAATTTAAAATATAGTGAATTACGACGTCTCTCGCCAGGGTCGGTAGCTGTAAAGGTATCTAGCTGGGTGATAAAACTTTCATAGATTTCTCATAGATGGCGCTACGACTAAAAAGTCGTTGAAAAACCAAATACAGAGACACGACAACAAGCACATAAACAAATTCGTGAGGTCCGCTGGTCCGTTCCGTGGCTTAGTTGGTATAGCGTCTGACACGGTATGCTAGAAGACGTCGGCTCGAATCCGGCCGGATCAAAGGATTTTTTTCTGAGTGTTCGATCTTTGTATTAATAATTGTAACAAACTACTGGAGTAATTTCACAAAAAATAATTGAATATCAATTCAATAAAAATTCATATACATTGTTTTACTCAGATTAATTAGTAGTCTATTATCTTGTAATTTTTTATTATAGATTACATTACATTGTTTATTTCTTGGTCAACTCTATTGCGGTTCTAAATGTCAAAAATTACGCAAACATTAGCATAGAATATTTTGTAGCTGTAGGAAAGTTATTGATCTACATCAGGAACAATAGATGGCCTAGTACACTTCCTTGGGGTATTCCATGCAACACTGTTGTATTAGTTGAAAAATATGATATGTCAGTTTTAATTTTAGACGATATTTTATTGATGCATGTCATTTTTTATTATTATTTTTATTATACATGACAGGCAAATGACTCCACTCCACCTGATGTTAAGTGGAAAGTGGTATCCAAACGCGAAGGAACCTAGTGCAGCGATGAAATCCTCAAATCCTCAATCCTTTGCTTACGATTAGTCAAGTAGGATTCTAATAGTTTGTGTACATTTCCTCTGATCCCATATCAATATAGTTTTTCTAATAAGATTTTATGATTGACGAAATCAAAAGCCTTTGTCAAATCCATGTATAGTGTTATGATAGGTTAACTTTTATCTATTGCTTTTAGAACTGTAGACAGTAACTCGTAAATAGACAAATTAATTGATTGACCCTTCCAAAAGCCCTTACGATTCTTGATTAAAATTTTATTTGTCTCTAAGTATGATAACATGTTTTCATATATAATTTTCTCATAAATCTTAGCTAGAACTGGAATGAGAGAAACAGGCCTGTCGTTGTTAATATTTTCTTTGTTACCTTTTTTGTATAAAGTTTTAAATATTGATATTTTAAATTCAATTGCCAATATATTACAGTCAACTTAAATCGTCTTTTAATTTTACAAGCTCGAGATCATAATCATCTTCTTGGATCTGGCGGCTACAATATACTGGTTTACTATGAAAAACTGAAAACGTTACCCGTTTGTTCACGAAACATATGCTTTCAGAGTTCGAGCCTATACCCATAGAGATCGACCCGTCCCTGAAGATGAAGCCTCGCCAATCCACATTCTCTGCCTCCAACAACTCAAAGACCCCACGATATAAAGGCACTACCGTCAGTGGCAGCACCGGTACCACAGATAAGGTAAGCAAGTTTTTTTAAGCTGGTGCCCGCGATTTTGTTATTAATATCAAATGACAGGAGGAACATATAGATGTAAGAGTATGATAAACTATTTACATACTGTAAAATACTTCCTGTAAAAACAAAAGTTCAATATTTAGCCGCTATTGAAAACTATTATGGAACTGAATTTAAAATTAATGTAACGAACAAGTACAACACTAGGCGACCCCGTGAAAATAAATATGCATGCCTAAGAGTAAATAACTATTACGGTAAAAGAACAAATGGACATCTCTGCCGTCTGCTAACTATAGTCTGTTCCATTTTGAACAAAAAGTAAACAAAACTGTTTGGTTAAATTTCTAAAGCAATCACACAATATTTTATCGATTGATATATCATCACTTTTTCCAACAATGTTAATTTGAATAGCATTATTAAATCGTATTTGAAAAATAATAGTCCCAAAGTGAGGTTACTTTTCATCTATACATCTATGACTTGTCTATGGTTGCATAGTGCTGTACGAAAAAAAAGATTCGGTTCATCATCAAATCGATTAGTAAATCCAATATTTCAACCGCATTCGAACGAGTATTTAAGTATAACGATTTGAAGAGGAATTAAAATTAAGATTTCGGAAAATTTAAATATGCTTATATAGGTTATGTAAGGAAAACTGCTAGTATGACTGAATTGAACTAATCGATTCATTCAATCAATTATTCTGTTGCCGGATCCGCTGAAACGGCAACATGCTGAATGGGTCACGGTTTCCTTGGCAGCACACAAGCTTTGTATTCTATATATGTATGAATTTAGTTCCAAATCCTTGTTGTTATTATTATTACCATCATTATCAGTATTCTTACTAATATAAAATGCATGTGTACTGTGTTCATTATTTAAGGAATAAATGATTTCTATTTATATTTCTATAATCGATTTGTAGTTGGCATTAAAATTGACCGTCACTAAACCGTCTATGGTCGGGCCAGTGACTAGTATGTTTACATTTTGTTCAAAATGGATTAAAACTAAGCATAGAACGCAGCAAGTGACAAAAGATTTTTTTGAGATATCATAAAAAACCATAACCCAGTTTTAGAATATTGAATTTGTTAATCGCGTTAAAAGTTTTTGCGCTAAATTTGTTAAAAGCGATAACTCCGGTGTATGTGAACCGATACTCATGAGTCTTTGTTTGTTGGAAAGGGGGTATACTCCATAGTGGTCCCATTTAATTTTGAACAAAATCATCCACCATTAAAGGCGCTGTTCACGCATGAAGATTCATTTTTATAAATAGCGCCTAAATTTGATTATAACGAGCAATTACTTTAATGGTTGATTTTGCTATTCTCCCATTCAAGGCACTTTTCTCTCTCAATAATAATATACTTTGAGTAGTGAGAACCGATTTTCATTGTCTCATGTGTCAAGTCCCGTATAGTGGCGAACTAGGGGATGAACCCGGGTTTGCGCATTTTCCGATAACCGATTTCAATAAAACTTGGTAATTATATGTAATTCCACATACTTTTGATTTCGGTTTTTTTAGTACGCTGTACTGATTAAACGATAATTTTGTGCTCTATCTTTTGTTATTTAAAACGGATATTTGAACATTTTTGGTTAGTGGAGGGCAGATCTCTTGCCAATTATATCTAATAAATTCTATTTTTGAGAGGCAGAGAATTGTTGAGTATTTTTACATTGAAGTAAAAATTAAAATTTATACTTCTTGAAAGCATGTAAATTTAGTAAGTTCTACACTGGTTTTGTTAAATGTACTTGTACTAGGTATACTATAGTTTTGTTATTGTGAGTCGCCAACAAACCGCTTTCGCAGTTTGGTGAGTAATTGAATTATGGACTCTTGTATGTTTTCTTTGTATGAAATAAATAAAATAAAAATGTGCATAACAGTTACAGTGTCACTCGGGGCTTTAAATTGCAAGTATCTGAGGGGCACTCCCGCGACGCCTATCACACTGAGATATAAGTTGACAAGTCCCATGTGCCTGTAATTTCACCAGCACCCTCAAGGCCCATTTAGATGGAGAGAGTTTCTCGTCTGGAAGACACGAATATCAAAAGAATATAGAATACTTTCCTCGTCTAAACATTCGCGATTATCCCTTCCACGTGAGCGATAATCGACGCCTTTGAATATTGGACGTCTCCGTGTAAACAGAACTGGGAAGCTAAAATCATATTTCGAGTTTTTGTGCCAGCCAGTTGCTACCATGAGTACAGTGCGCGAAGATATGAAACCACCGTATCAAACACTATATCACTGCTTTTCTAAGACAAGAAATAACAATAATATTTTTTTATTTCAAACTAATGTTCATATTTTGTTAGTAACAATTTTCTTATTCTATGTTAGTAACAATGAAATTTAATTAATTATGGAACGCCTGTGACACGCATTCCAGTGCCTTACTAACGGGCAATCTACCCGCTCCAGAATGGTATTCCGGAGACCGCTGGTGCTGGTGGCACGCGCTGCATCAACGACGCCACTCGTTGGAAACTATCAACGCGCGCCTTAATGAATCGAAAAAGGAAAATAAACATTTTGGATTAAAAAATGTTATAAAAAAAAATGTCTTGACTTGTTCGTCCCCTAAATTAATATTATACAAAAAAAGGTTTGGGGTGAAATTAATTGTGTATTGTATTTGCAGTCCACGCGTAAAATAGTGATTGGAAGTTTAGAAGACGAGGACCCCATCCCGGCCACAGTTATCACCACCAACGAGGGGAAGAGCGCGTTTAGCGGCGCCTCCACCACTACCACCGCTGGTAAGCAATTTTTTTTATGATACCAAGTATTAATAATAATAATAATAATAATAATAATAATATAGTAATAATAATATTAGCAAATCGTGACATTAACTTATTACTTTGTATCATTAAGAGTCGATAGTACCTCATCCCGAATTCAAATTTTTACTGCCCTGTTGATTCGAATTCGAAACAATTCACGATCGGAGCGCAGTTGTCACCGTAGTTATTTGGCAGAATAGTTTTCAAGCAAATAAAATGACATTCCGTCTCTATTTCTGGTTATATACTCGATGTATGGAATCAACCAAAGCCATTAGAGGTAGCATAGACTCTTAAGAAATAAGAAAAAAAATATGTCGCCATTACGAAATACATCTTTGACTAGAAAGTACGTGGGTTTTTTATTGTTTGAATTTATAGTGGAAAGATTATAATATAATTTACAATATATATATCATTGGAGTCTCATTTCTATGTCTATTAGGAAGATCTCCATCACAATTGACAGGACACTACCACTCGGAGTTTTAAATCGCAAAGAGCTACGTACCCAACGACGATGTACATTGTGGCCGCTGGATGCGGAGGTCCCGGGTTCGATTCCCGATAGGACCAATTTGGGAAACCAACTTTTCAAAATAGGTTCTCGTCTGAGTGTTCTGTGGGAAGTGTCCCGGAGTGAATTACGTTGGTCTGGTAGGTGCTCATAGTACATTTAATTCCCTAGTTTGAGAAGGTAATTGGTGTCGTTGTTTGGCACATATTATTATTATTGTATTATATTGTATTAAAAGAATACTGCAATGCGCCCGTCACTCTGAGACGTAACTTGGCAAGTAAATTTATTATACTCCGTCCTATAATTTATATAACTTTTGGCATATGCATGCCTCCAAAGTTCCGTAATTATTGACATGCAACCATAGGCAAACAATGCAATACTTTCTGGATTCTTTTATTTTTTAATTTTAGTGAAGCGACTTGTGCTCTTACATTTATCAAGCCATTAGATTATGTAACGAAGATTATTCAAGTTGATAAATTTTATTGTCTAATAAATTATAATGAAATGAAATAAATTGTAAATAATTATAATAAATTC